TACTTATATAAGTTAGACATCTTCAAGTTGGCAGGGCCTGATGAAATACGTCCTAGAATACTTAAGGAACTGGCTGAAGAGACCTCTGAGCCATTAGTGATTATCTTTGAGAACTCGTGGAGGATGGGAGAGATCCCAGAGGACTGGAAAAGGGCAAATATAGTGCCTGTCTATAAAAGGGGAATAAGGACAACACAGGGAATCATAGACCAGTCAGCTTAACTTTGGTACCAGAAAAGATAATGGAGCAAATTTCAAACAATCAATTTGTAAGCACCTAGAAAAAAATAAGGTGATAAGTAACAGTCAACATGGATTTGTCAAGAATAAATCATGTCAAACCAACCTAATATTCTTCTTTGACAGAGTAACAAGTATTTTGGATGGAGGGAAGCAGTAGATTTGATATATCTGGACTTTAGTAAGGCTTTTGATATTGTCTCACATAACCTTCTCAAAAGCACACTAGGAAAATATAGCCTAGAGATGAACCTACCATAAGGCACAACTGGTTGGAAAACTGCACTCAGAGAGTGGTTATCAAAGGTTCACGGTGAAGTTGGAATGGTGTATTGAATGGGATCTGCAGGAAACTGTCCTGGATCCAGTTCTATTCAATCTCTTTATAAATGATTTGGATAATGGCATAGAAAGTACACTTATAAAGTTTGTGGATGATACCAAGCTGGGAAGGGTTTTAGATGCTTTAGAGGACAGAATTGGAATTCAAAATGATCTTGACAAACTGGAGAAATAGTCTGAAATAAATAGGATGAAATTCAATAAGAACAATGCAAAGTTCTACACTTAGGAGGGAATAATCAATTACACAAATACAAAAAGGGGAATGACTGCCTAGGAAGGAGTACTGCAGAAATGAATTTGGGGGTATTAGTGCATCGCAACCTAAATATGGGTCTGCAATGTAATATTGTTCTAACAAAAGCAAACATCATTCTGGGATGCTGTGGCAGAGGCATGCTCCACTTCTGCCTCTTTCCACACAAAAAAAACTATTTGGAGACCTTCTTCAGGTAAAATACCAAGTGATTCATTAACAAAGTTTGTTCACAGACTGTGCAGCAGCTTTATCAGTATTGTGGGGCTCTAAGGGTATGTCCATACTGCAATTAAAAACCCACAGCTGGCCCATGTCAGCAGGCTCAGGCTAAGGGGCTGCTTAGGTTGCTGTGTTAATGTTTGGAATCGGGCTGGAGCCTTGGCTATAGGACCCTGCGTGGTGGGAGGGTTCCAGAGCTTGGACTGCAGCCCAAACTGAATGTCTACACTGCAATTAAACAGCCCCTTATCCTGAACTCCCGAAGCCTGAGTTAGCTGGCACAGGCCAGCTGGGGACTTCTAAGCCCAGCAGGGGAGAAATCTCCTATGTCATTGGCTCTACCAGCCTACAGCAGTTTCTCTCCCACCCATTGTACTTCCTTCCTGTGCCTTTTTACCTTCTGAGTTAATGAGGTAATTAGTTATTAACTCTTCCAGCCTATCAGTTTGGCTCAGTTCCCACATTCAGGTGTGCATAGGGCAACTAACTGAAGTTGCTATGGTCAGACTGCTGGATCAGGTGCTGTTGCTCGGCACTCTGTCACACATGTATTAACAAGAGTGTTGTAAGCTAAGACATGAGAAGTAATTCTTCCACTCTACTCAGCTCTGATAAGGCCTTAACTAGAGAACTGTGTCCAATTGTGGGCACCACATTTGGGGTAGGATGTGGACAAAATGTAGAAAGTCCCGAGGAGAGCAACAAAAATGATTAAAGGTCTAGAAAACATGACATACAAGGAAAGATTGAAAAAAATGGGTTTGTTTAGTCTGGAGAAAAGAAGACTGAGGAGGGACATAACGGTCTTCAAGTATGTAAAAGGTTGATAAAAAGAAGAGGGTGATAAATTGTTCTTCTTAACCTCTGAGGACAGGACTTAAATGGGCTTAAATTGCAGCAAGGGAGATTTAGGTATGATATTAGGAAATGTTTTTCCTAAATGTCAGGGTAGCTAAGCACTGGAACAAATTACCTAGGGAAGTAGTGGAATCTCTGTCCCAGGAGGTGTTTAAGGACAGGTTAGACAAACACCTGTGTCAGGGGTGGTCTAGTTAATGCTTAGGCCTGCCTCCGTGCAGGGGATTGGACTAGATGACTTATCGAGGTCCTTTCCAATCCTACATTTCTGTGATTCAATCATTCATAGTGTGCATGTACTTATGCCCAATTAGTTACAATATATTCTAATGACTTACAGTGATCTTCAACTTGTAAGGATACCAACAGTGGATAGTTTGCAAGTAGCCAGACTCTAAAAGAGAGGCTCTTGAGGCCCAAAAACTAATGGTACGACTACAACAAGGGAAACATGGAGCTTCAGAAATGCTTGTTATATTCAGTTCTGGTCACTTGATCTCAAAACATATAGCAGAGAGGATTAAGAGAGAAGTGACAAAAATGGGATTGTATATGGAGAGATTTCTGTATGAGAGACTGAAAAGACAGGGACTGTTTAGTTTTGAGAGGAGACATAAGATGGGACTTGATATAGGTGTATGTAATAATGACTGCTGGAAAGATGGTTAACAGGGCACCTTTATTTACACTTTCTCATAACAAGAACAAAGGGACATTCCATACAGCATGTAAATTATCTGTGGCACTCTGTGCCACAAGACATCACTGTGACTAAGAGCTTAGTAGCATTGAAAAAGGATTAGACATTTATGTGGCTAATGAGGACATCCACAGTTTTTGTTTTTTAGAAGGCACATAAACCCCCCCATGCTCTGAGGCACTAGTGGTTAGACTGGTTGGTTGGAAGCCAGGACTCCTAGTCTCTTTTTCTGGGTATCGCAACAAGCCACTACGTGACCTTGAGCATAGCACCCAGCCTCCCTGTACCTTGGTTTACCCATTGGTAAGAAAGAAAAAATAATAATGAAATTAATCACACAGTACATGTATAACTATGGATGACAACCGATAGTACAGATAAGGGCACAATTTCTTCCCTCATGTCTACTCCATATAAACCCATTCATTTTAGTGGAGGTGGATCAGGCTTCAATAGGACTACTCACTTGCTTAAAGTTAGGATTGTGTACCTTGCTGAATCGGTGCCTATGTAAAGGGAGAATTTACCCCCACCATAACTTTCTGACGTCCGAAAAGCAGTAGGTTATCATACGGTTTATTTTTCCCTGAAGTAGAAAATGTACGTTTGTGGATAAATGTATGGAATAAACTAGCATGTTAATATAGACTTAAACATACCATAGTCCTAAGTCTGGAGAGTGAATATGAAATACAGACCAATTCTGCACCTTGTATAGTCAATTTATACCAGTATAAAATGGGTGTAAAATACTACTATTATGATCTGATAATGCTTTACACCTGCTCGAATTTGCATTAATGTGGATGACTACACAAGGTACAGGGCAATGTTTAATTTGTCCTCATAACCACAATATTTAGAAAGGGAATAAATATAAAATAACCCAGACAAATACAAACTTACAACAAGCAAGTAATGTTTGGTTTCTAGGAGTATATTTACAAAAGATGGATAATTAAGTTGCTGGTCAAACACACATCTGATACCATTTATACAGTATTACAGAAATAAACATTCACCAGCAGACAATCTAAATGTAAACTGCTTATAAAACTATTCAGAAAAAAAGCCCCAGGACTTGGTCAACAGTATACATACAGAAACTGAACCATTGAAATCATGAGTTAGGTAATCTGATCAATAATTCTACTATCTTGGGTGTGAATATTTGGTGCAGGGTCCTGAACCCAGTATATACACAGTAACATTCCAAACCAGAACAGAAACACTTTAGAGATCCAAAACGTAGAGGCCCAGTTTTGCAGTCCTGATGCATTCACAATTGCTGTTGCAATCATTGCAAATGTGGGGGTTTGTGTGTGGGAGCTGTCCACACTCACGCTGATTTAACACCCACATTACTCCATGGAATTTAAGTGTGAACATAAAATCAGCCTGCCAGGAACAGGCTCTAAACGATTAAATTTAGAATCTCACAGCCTATCTGATATTTGCAATTTTAACACTGGGCCCACTTCTACCCCCAGAAACCAGTGGATGTTACAGCCATGAAAAAAAGATCAGGACTGAGACCAGAGTATTTTTAATGCCCTCTAATGGAAGTTTTAATTACAATACTTCCTAGAACAGGAAATTCCTGCTGAACTTCACTGCCCCAAATCTTTTACAGGAAGTTGGGTCTGTGACTATGTTTAAAATGTGAATATCAAATTATAGTGGATTGTTAGTAGCAAACCTCAAGGTCCTTTCTTACTTACCATTTATCTGTTGTTTTTTTTAAATTTTGATTTAAATAATAAGAAAGACACCTATACATAGGCTCTAGGTGCCCAGACACTCAATCATGTTTACAACATAATACTTCCAGTGGCATTAAAAAGCAAACCATCAGAGAGGAACAATAGCACAACTCAACTAGCTAGCTAGCCAGCCAGCTACAAAAAGCTCCTTTCAGCCTCCTCCCATCCACCCATCATTCTGAGAACATACCCTCAACCCTCTCTAACACCCCTTCCAATAGACAGTTTTTGCTACATGCCTGGAAGGTCACAAAATTCAGGCTATTTCAGACCAAGTTACCAATTAATATCCCATCTGTGTGCAACAGACTACAAACATCCCCTTTTTTGAATATAAACTAGCCAAAACTAACACTTTTTCAGATTGTTGGGTAGTTTGGTAAATTCACAGTGTTAGGGGGCTTATATTCTCTTTTCTGGCCAGCCACTAGAGGACAAGCTATTCGCAGGTGTGTGGCCTGACATGCCCTCCAGTGGAGGGTTGTGGTACACACACACTTCAGCCAGTAGGTTGCAGACAAATATCCTTTATATGCAAACCGAGAGGTTTAGACATTTATAAATTGCAAAAATAACAAAGCTGCAAGCAAGCTAAGTGATTGCATCTCGCTGTTGGTAGGCATAACACTTCGCCTGGATGTGTGGGATGGATGGAAAGAATTCCTGACTGGGTGCCTCTTAGGAAACAAGCATACAGTCCAACGCTTCCTGTCTGATGAAGAACCAGTACTCAAGTACGGTAACTAATTGCATTTGGTTTTTAGCCCATTTTAATTTCTCCAGTCCAAGCACCTCTGTTCCCTAATAATGTCTTTTGAAAATTGATTATGTCTTGGATTTAACTGCCAATTTACTTTAGTATTTTAATGTAAGGTACTATTCAAGCAATTGAAATATCTCCTAAAGGGAGTATAGCAAAAATATCCTCATAATATAAAAAATATACCAGCTACCATTTTAGTACTTTGGAGCCTGATCCATATTGATGTCAGTTAACTGAGGATCACACTTTTATTTTACAACAGGACTGTATGTATTTTAAAAAGTCACTCTTATTTGGACATTTGGGAATTGTAATGACATCTCTGAAGGCTGCCCTAAAGATCACCATCACTTCTTCACAATTGTTTTTAATAAACTGTTCTTGCAACCGAGCAAGAACTAGCCTTGTAAAATTCTACTTGCCCATTCACCTGGAATGAGTTTTTCCTAGGCAAGTAAAATATAATTAGTTTTAAGTTGTTATGGTAAAGGGGACCAGGTAGCTTTTGTGACTGTGCCAATACATTTTCATGGAGATTTTGCAAGCCAATGCCATATTTAATGCCCCCTTAATAACTCTGAACACATATAGACTGTATTGCAGTACATAGCTTTGGTGAGAGATACAAAGGAGAGAAAGGATCCCAGATCTTATCAGTGCAAGGGAAAAGCATTCTATTACTGACCTAACTGGATAAAGAAGATCATTTGACTATGAAAGATCTTTAGACATGACATAACACAATAAGATTTATTCTAAATGAAATACAGTATACCAGCCTTTGCCCCTGTAAGAAATCACAGCACTGCATGATAGTGTGGCACCATGTTTAGAACATGGCTACAGACCTTGTGGAACTTGACTTTATCGAGTTTTCTGTTTCCCCCATCTTATGGGGTTACAACAGGAGTAGAGCACAAGATTCTCAATATTTAATTTACTAATTAAAAACCCAGACTGTAAAGTGTCAGAAATATAAACAAATGGTGTCTTTTTACACTGGATGCTAGCTAACAAATGACTTGACGCTATAGATTTGGAAATAATTAATTAGTGCCTTCATACTATAGAGTCTGCCCTGAGTTCAAATAGCCTATTGCTGTCGGGAATAGTACATCACCCCATCAATTTTTTACAAGTCATACTACTTTCCAGAAGATGGCAATATCTCATCTGAATTTAATCTGTTTCGTTTAAATCTGGGCATTATAAACACAGTGCCCCTTTGTGGTATCTAATTATGAATGCACTATAGGATATAAATGGGCAATGTATGAATAGCAGACTTGAATGGAGTATTAAGCTAGAATAGAGTAGCTCTCCATCAGTGGAAATGTAATGAAAGATGCAATATAATGAAAATAATTGTCATATGGATTACAGTATATGAGATAGTAGCTCAGTGTCAATATTACTCCATACCTAGATTGTGGTGATAGTCTAAGGTTTATTTTTCTATTTAGTGGCAGTGGCTTTGCATAGCAAGTGGTTTCTAGTGTCTTTACCAAGAACAAGGACACACAGAACATAAGGAATTGTTAGATAAGAATTAGCCGGACAAGTCTATCCTCTTTACATGTATTTTAACCCTCGTCCCCTATTTTGTACCTGTATCATTTAATCTCCTCCCCCACTTTTAAAATGTCCAACTATTCGTCTCTGAAATACCTTTAAAGATCTTGTGGTACTCATCTTCTCACATTTTTGAATGTCATGTGGATGTGAAACACCTTACCTTGTGTAAACTGTAAATCCTGTTCCACTTTATGAAACCCTTCTTCACCCACGATATCTCTAGTGGGTCATCTTAAAATCTTCTCTCCACAGACTGTAAAATCAGCGTATGCCTCTGTTTTCATTTGTGGATAACAAATATGATCAACAGTGACTAAGCCCTTTTAACAAAGGTACAAATTACTTATTTATATGGGGACCATATTATCTAATCAGCCCATTAGAGCACAAAATTATGAGACTTACAGACATATCTTGGCATATGTTTGGCTGAATATTTTTGTGCTGTCATTCTGCAAAGAAATGTACATCATTTTGAAAGGTAGTATTTTTCTAATGCTTATGTTATGTTGGATTTCTTTAGTTTCTTCAGTTAATTAATTTTTTTGCATGTTTCTTTTTTTCAGATATCAGAAGAGAGTGGCTCTTTACATGGCAGCATTTTTTGGGCACCTTGAGCTCGCGGCATGGATCCTGAAACAAGGAGTGAGACCCAATGCGGCTGTGGGTGTTCATCCCTACCGAGAATGGTGTCAGGAAACACATCATCCAGATGTAACTAAATGTCCGGTTCATGCAGCTGCAGAAGCAGGCCAACTAATTATACTGAAGGCCTTTGTCAATTATAGTGTGTTGTGCCTAGAGTGCCAAAATCCAGCAGGGCAAATTCCTCTGAACATATGCATCAAACACAAGCATAAGGAGTGTGTGCTATATTTAGTTACCAAAATGTGGTCAGTGGTTTCTTATCCTAATTTTTCACTTCCCATGAAGATCTACATTAAATTAAAGCAGTGGCTGCTTAGGGCTCAGAGTCACATCCTTACCACGAAATGGCTTAACCAGGCTGCAGTCTTCAGAACACGAGTGGGGGACACTGTTATCGTGGATGGCTTCACAAAGCCGAAAATGACTTCCAAAGCCAGGATCAAGGCAGCAGGCAATACGGACTATCAGTTACCAAACCTAACTGATCAAACTCCACATGAGAAAGAGTCATGTCCCTTGACAATTACAAAGGGGAACCAAAAAGTAATAAAGCTCAAATTACCTCCATTGGAAGACACGAATAAGCTCCCTAACATACACAGACTTCACCAAAAGGAGAATATTAGAAAGAAGGCTGCTCAGCCTAGAAAAGATGAAAGTATGGACCAAAATATGTGTTTAGCTAAAGTTCCTTTGCCCCCTATTTCTAGCCTCAGAAATTCACGCCCTCCTTTCTACTATTCAACACCTAATGCTAAATTGCTCTTAAATTCCTCCTCTGAGTGTTTCTCAGAACACAATGGAAGAACTCCAAGAGATAATGCAATCTACTGCTTATCTATTGCCAGGTATGGTATTCTCTTTTGTTTTCCTTCTTTATTTATGTCCCTCCCAGGTGTTTATATTTTCTTCTCCCAGTGCTTGCTCATGTCCATTCCACATTAGGTGTGGGCGTGCCCCAGGCACAGTCGTTGGAGATTTTTCCTTCAGTGGTATCCGTTGGACCAGCTTTAGCGCCCTCTGATGCTATGCGCTCGTGCACTGGTATAAGGGCCCCGGACAACCTGCACCCTCTCAGTTCCTTCTTACTGCCCAAGATGGTTGCTGGAACAACTCCTCTTGCCTCGGCAAGGCTTTCATCTAGTGGCTTTGTTATTCCCTTCTTTCTTCGCAAGTTTAGTTACCTTTAGTTTATTTCTCTTAGTAGTGTGTGTGTATATATATATATATATATATATATATATATAGTTAGACCCCACAGTTGCGTAGAGGGACATGCCCCAGTCTCCAGACTTCAAACTCTGTGCCTCCTGTAGCAAGCCTATGCCAGTGAGTGACCCGGACTTCAGCTGTCTGAAGTGTCTGCGGGAGGCTCATGTGCAAGAGCATTGCCAGATCTGCCACCAAGGGTGGGTTGTGGAATACATATCTGCAGCCACATCTCAAAGAATAACTGTTACAACAGGTAAGTAACTGTATTTTCTAGGTATAATAATGTGATTTGATTTACAGTTCTGTTTTGCCCTCGTTATTAAAATGCATGAGAACTTGCATCTGAAGAAGTGAGGTTCTTACCCTCGAAAGCTTATGCTCCCAATACTTCTGTTAGTCTTAAAGGTGCCACAGGACTCTCTGTTGCTTTTTACAAAAACTATCAGGTTTTTTAAAGCTGTATTTTGTTTGTGTGACGTTACAACTGGTCACTAAGGTTTTTTAATCATGGACTGGTGAATTATAATTGGCACTTTCTTGGAAGTTACAAATAACCAATATTGGCAGAGACAAGGTGGATGAGGTAATATCTTTTATTGGATCAAGCATCTGTTGGTGAGAGAGACAAGCTTTCGAGCTACACAAAACTCTTCCTCAAGTCTGGGAAAGGTACTAAGGTAAATGGTCCCTTAGAGTATGTGCTAACAACTTACGCTAAACTATCTGTTTGACCTTGTATTTAGCAGTGACACTCTGAATACCTTTCCCTGACCTGACGAAGAGCTCTGTGTAGCTTGAAAGCTTCTCTCTCTCATCACTAGAAGTTGGTCCAATAAAAGAATGATCATTTTCCCTCCAGAAACTTTTTTCTTCCTTTACTGTAATTAATGATTCTGAGGTGTACAAAAGTCTTCACTCACCTTGTCTCTCTTATATCCTAGCATCCACACGGCTACAACAACACTGCGGATAGATATTAGCAGGAAATTTTTGTAGGATATGTTTGATGAGGGATTGCTGCCACCTACTGGTAGCAGTTATTAGCGTACATATCAGTTACAATTGAGGCCTCGTACTGATAATAATCGTTGATAGAAGAACATCTTTAGCTGACCAGAATCCTTGCACTTAGCAAATGCCCTTCAGTCTAGAAATATAAATAGTAAGCTTCAGAGAAGGCTGAAAAAATTCTTAAACAACAAACATAGAAGAACTAGGTACAGGGGTGAAAGTAAGGCAGTACGGGCCGGTACGGCGTACCAGTAAAAAGTAGCCACCAGTACCGGCCCGTACCGCTGACTTTAAAGCGCTGCCGCGGCAGGGCTTTAAGGACTCCCATTGGCGGCCCTGCCGGATCCCTACCAGCAGGGCCGTCAATAGGGGGGGTGCAAAAGGGGCAGCGACGACCCTGCAGGGCTGCCGATGGGGGGCACAAAAGGGGCAGCCAACGGGGCCGCCAACGGGCCGGGGCAAAAGAAGTAGC